TCAGGACAATTTACGCTGAAGGTGTGTAGTGACTGTCTCCACAGGAAGTGCATTTCGGAACGCTTGTCGTGACTAGCTCAAGTCAAAGTGCTTTTGTAAATGCTTGCTGCTTCCGGCCCGCTGGAACAGCTAATCACAGACCGACCTACAGAGGACCCCATGTGACGACTGTTGAACAGACGTCACTTCTGACGTCGTCAGCAGGCTCGCGTTTGTGTGGTCGTCTGACATTTAATTTCCTATTCTCCGCTTCCTTCTGCATAGAATAAACTCCTCCTACCACACTGGCCTTCCCATGACTTTTCTTCTCCTAAGGAGAAGATCGCAGTTACCATTTTTTTAACTTAATTAACCTTCTGCGATAAGTTAATCATAGTAGAACCCACTATTTAAAAGTAATCCGGAACGTCCACTCACTTTGGGACCGTGGATGACAACGTTCACTGGCACCTTGAACATGACCTCCGCATCCTCCAGAGTGGCCTCACGTATCACCTGTATAAGAAAGGAAAGTGAGAAAATAATCAAGCACACGTAGAAAAGGAAAGCATCTTCGTAACTGGAGAATACTTATTTATTTATTACATTACTATAGAAAGCGATGCAAGAAATCGATGTCAGGTGTGTTAAATGACTACTGTTTGACAGAGGATTATATACAGTCCGTAATCGATCGCATACAAAGTAAAAAGAAATTGTTAAATGTGTTTAAGTTTAAAAATGCTTATTTATGTGGTTTTGCAATATTTGGCACCTTTTATCCCAAGCTATTTTAGACAAATCAGGATTCTGGCTTTTGAACGAACTTCTCATTTGCCTTCTGAGGAAACCCACCTCGATAAAAAATGACTACTGGAGTAGCGTATATAGATTGTCGATGTCTTAAAAAATTAAAATATATTTTATTGAAAACGTATGCAAAAATAAACTTTCTTCTTCTTATTTAGTAGGAAATCACGTGCCCTACAAAGTTTACACTAAAAAGGTCATGTTTGGGTTTTAAAAAGCCCTCACATTCCCGATTGATTTTGCGTTCGTTACATTTGGGTTTAGGGTGTTTAGTTTACAAGCTTTAGACATTAGCTGCGAGGTATATAATTAATTCTTGTATGTCACTAGGAAGATTGTTTATAATGCTCATACAATTTTACAATGGATGCTTAGTGAGGGCATTACCAAACGAGCAGATTCGATACGAGTTAAATGGACGTTGTAGAGCCTTGAAGAGATTTAAAATTCGAAACCATATTAAGACCGTAAAGTAGACGTTCTTTCTGTAAAAAATCTTAACAAGACATTATCTACTCATTTTTTATAGAATATTTGACTTTGAAAACGGCGAAAATCTATATTTAATGAACACTAATAAAGTAGCCGTTTTTTGTCGAGTAATTGTTTTCCAGAAAACCGGGAAGACGCCCGTTCAAAATCCAACATCCTTTTGTGTCAAAAATATTTTCGATTTATACTCCAAGATATGAAGTTTTGCAATTGTACACAATCTAAAATGCATTTAAATGTTTGGTGAATACTGCTTGAGATCATTTACTGAAAACAAAAGCCAAGAAACTTTTCGATGAACAGCATGCTAGGAAAAAAACGTGAGAATAGTCTGAAAATTTTTGAAAACCGCAAACGACATAGATTAGTACGACTATGAACAATGTACCCTTTTTCTAACCGGAGGTAGAGCGAAGTGGGCAGAGCTAGATTTCACTGATACTGGAACTCATTCAGTTTAGAGCTGTTGTGCCTCATAATTCCATCGAACATCGATCCATGACCATTACGAAATTTCATTCCAGAAAAACCCTTTAGTGATCAAGGAAGGTAAACATCCTCTCAGATAGTATTACCAGCAAAGACATAGAAGACTGGAACAGCCATTTCTAGCTTATTAGCCGTCGCCAGCCAGTCATAGCCAACCCTAAGTGATGTACCACCCAAACCTTTGAACTTGTTGATTAGAAGTTTAACGCTTTAACCCTTGGACCACGATTTCTTTGTCCTGTCGGTTTGTTTCGGGAGATGTGGACACTGCTTGATGAATAATCACCGATCGTTAACAGATCTCATTCGTTCCGCTCTGCCGTGGGTCTCATTTCTCCGGTCCTGACGGCAACTGCATAGTGGCTAGTAGTCTAGCCTCAAAAAAGAATGGAGACTGCAGTGACCATTTCGGGCTCATTAGCCGTCGTCCGCAGTCAGCCTTGTTTTTTTCGGCAATACTATTTTCCTGGACTAATAGCTGCATTTTAAGCAGTGACTTCGGCTATCCATCTTCAGAGACTCGAGATTACTGCACACAGCTCACATTTTATAGCGCATTCTGTTTTTAGGTGAAGGTCGCCCCTGCCGACTGTGGGGCTGAATTGGACCCTCGTTTCGCTGTAACCAGAGATGTCCGGTTCCCTGTTCACCTCGGCGACTATTGACAGACCCGAATGTTTCACTTCATAATATTCTCTTGTCAATTTGGTTCGCTAACCCACAATGACACTGTATGCCAACCGTGTCAGAAACATTATTAGAGTTAGCTACTTAATTTATGTAAGTACGGGTGTTTGACTCCACTGCCACTAATTTCAGCCGCTTGATTTAGGTTGCTGTCGACTGAGCTATTATTCGCGGTCTCCTACATTCCCACGACTTCGGACTGGAAATTATAGCTAACGCGTTGGCTTCTCTTATGGTACTGCTTTAAATGGCATCAGGCCTCGGATATATCCTCGGATAAGACGTCCCCTTAGTCGGTTACTATTTTGTCGTTACAGTCCTTCATCCATGATATTTCGGCGTTGTTTAAACACATTTTTAAAATTTATCCGTTGGTTTTCATAGAAAAAATAATAGCCAGCAGCTTAACACCTCAGCCGAATATCAGTTCCCCCTAATGCTGAGCAGATTTTGACCCCCCTTTCCTCCCCCCATTCCCCCTGTCCTGACAACAGTTCTATTTTCTTACCAACCCGCATAGTTCACTTAGTTAATTACCATTAAAATGTAAAGGCCTGATGAGAATGATCGAAAACAAACGTATGTCTGCCATTTCATCTTCTGACAAAATAATAGATTAAAATATTTTGGTAAAATATACAGTTTTTTTACATTAACCTATGATCTCGCATTCCTTTCCATAGTTTAGTCCCACCCCTTACAACCCCTCCGCCCCATTAAAAAAGCTTCAGTCGCATACTGTAACTTCCCCTGCAAAAGTAGATATGACATGGGATCAAATGATCCGGATGACTGAGCATTCAGTGGAATTACAGGTTTTCTGCACCTGCCTTGATGTGCTATCTTCACCAACTTCTCAACGGCTTCAAATATGAAGATGCATTCTGTCTGCGTGGGCCTGCTACTGCTCACTTTGGCGGCATCATAACACAGATTGCACCATATCATGAAATCTGTGCACGGGACTCACCAGTCTCCAAAAATGAGTAACCGAAATCACAACTTAAGACGTCAGACTGTGAATAAATCTCCCCGGTGACGGCCCTTTTAACGTTAATGAATACAACTATATGCAGAACTGAGGACAAAAATAAAAGTCAGTTTATGAGGGCATGCGTGGATAACAGAAGGTTATCTATTATATAATCACTGTAGGTGAAGCTGGAGAAGCTAATAAGCTCATATTCCCATATGCTATGCTTATTGCAAAAAAAGGATGCATGTGCTATTAGCAAGCTACTGATACAGTTATAGGAAATTGTAAGTTTCCATGTTCAGTTATTTACTAACACCCTCATTTACACAGGAGATGTTCTGTAAATCCAAAGCTAGAGTTAGATACAGTAGTAAGCCTAAAGTTAGTCTGAAAATGGCAAATGGCACTACGTTGCAATATAAAGGCGTGGGAGAACTTGAGCTAATATCTACTAGCGTTTTCTTAACCCACTAGTTTATTTTTAAGTCGATATAGCATGGAACTGCAGACTAGGTGTCGATTTCCTGCATTCGCGTACAGACCGTACTATAGTATACTATTTACAGGTCTAAGTAAGTATGATTATTATAACTGCCACTCAAAGCATTGGCATAATACTTTAACAACAATATATCCAATCGTAGTAGCAACTGACACAACTTTTGGTGAATGGATGAGAGGACGTAAACCAAGGCAAGCCCTGATGTGTTCCGGGCCTCAAACATGTATTTACTCCAAATAGCATAAATCGAGTGGACATGAGCCCCAACCTGAGCCCCAGCGTCACTTCTGATCAATATTAGCGTCTTTAATAGTATAAGTACGACTACAGTTGCATCGAGATTAAGTAGTCGTAGTATTAGAAGTAGCAGTATCAGTTTCCACATCGGCTGAAGGTGAGTGATGGCGGGTAGTGTGGTAGTACAGTAGTCGCCGGCTATTAAGCCCACGGCTAATAAGCCCAGCCGCG